CTCGCATTCCATGTGCTCTGTCTCCACTGTGTCCACACTCTCGTCGAGCGCAGCTTGATATGCTGTTGCTTCGGCAATGTCTGGCCTTGCTGCAGCCTCGTTAGACAGCGCTCACTCAGCCTTCCAGCTAATAGACGGTGACGGAGTGGGGGAGCAGTAGTAGGTGGGCGAAGGGGTGAGGCTGATTGTCAGTATCTCTGGAGAGGGAAGAAGACACCGGTTGTCAGCGCCCTGCACTTCTTCTTCGAGCTCGGCGAAGTACAATGACGCCGCTGGATGATCGTTGTCGTTCGCGTGCTCGATCTCCTGATTAAAGTCCTGTGCAAACTGGGACTCCATTGGAGGGTCCTTGGGCAAGCTCTCTGGTTCCTCGTAATAACCCCCCCAAGGCAGCTCAAACCTGGGCAGATGGCCCACAGAAGCGACGTGATGCCGCCAACACTGGATGCGAGAGGTGGTCTCTGGAAAGAAGTTGACAGTGAAGGAGTATTGTGTTGCTATCATACACACTTACCCATCATGAACACTGAAAGGGTGATATTAGTTAAGACGGCTGCTGGTGCTAGCGCGACGTAGTCAACTTGCCTGCGAATTCTGTAAGCGGGGTGATAGGCATCTTGGTGGATGTAGCGGCTGCAAAATTTGAAAGTGGGTGACAGACTTTTATACACTGGATGGCTGATGGCAGAAAATGGGATTCAGCGTGATTTCACTTGTGGCGAGCGCATTGCGCTCATACAATCACACTAGAATCAGCATACCTCGTTAGATCAGAGCCACAAGCCCGACATCAGCCCGCCCATTTATGAGGGTACGTAAGGGCGTGGAATCCGGCAATAGTAACGTCGATGGTGAAACGTAGCCGCGAGGGATTGCGAGGCTAGAATTGATACACATGATTCGCCCGCCAGTGGCGACTACATGGCAAACTGTATTGTTCGGCACACACGCACCGGTAGTACAGAGATTTTGTACACGCCCTGTGATTGCCGATGTCAGCAGTGCACGCATGCTGCAAGAATCAATTCATTTCTGTGCGGTCGAGTCATTCTACCCCTTTTTTGGAGGGGGGTTGGTGGTTAAAATGTGGGTTGTGTGATTAAAAATCTGCAAACACTGTGAAAAGGGTAAAATGCACTCTGGAGAGCACTTTCAGATGTAAATACTGTCAAATGGCAATATTCAGTGGCCAACAAGAAAAATACCCGATCGTGCAGCAGTGTGCAATTAGGAAGAACATGGTATAGACACTCATATGAAACAATACTATGTAATGAATCAGTATCGCATTAATAACCCGATCGTGCAGCGGCGCGCGATCAGGAAAAACATCATATTGTAGACACTCATATGAAGCAATATTGTGTCATCACACAGTATTGTGTTAATAACCCGATCGCGCAACAGCGTGCGATCAGGAAAACACCATATTGTAGACACTCATATGAAGCAATACTGTGTCATCACACAGTATTGTGTTAATAACCCGATCGCGCAACAGCATGCAATCAGGAAAACATCATGTTGTAGACACTCATATGAAGCAATACTGTGTCATCACATAGTATCATGTTAATAACCTGATCATGCAGTGGTGCGTGATCAGGAAAAACATGTTGTAGACACTCATATGAAACAATATTGTGTGATAAAATAGTATTGTGTTGTTGTGCCACGATTACACATCATTGTGTGATCGGATACATTTAGTGGATTGAAGGTGCATTTAAATGCAATGCAATACCATTAGTAGCATTGTGTTTGCATGCATATGCATATATTTCACATCCAATTCACTTAATGTATCTGATCGTACATTGATGCACAATCATGTTATAACAACACAATACTATTTTATCACACAATATTATTTCATATGAGTGTCAATAGCATGTCTCCCCTAATCACACACTACTACAGGATTGCATATTTTCTTGTTGGCCACTGAACATTGCCATTCAATAGTATTTACATTTGAAAGTGCTTTTAAGAGTGCATTTACCTTTGAAAACCATTGCTATTAATGTTGTCGGCATCAGACCGGCACCCATTAGTAAGAGGTCACTAATATTATATTATTATTTAGCTCTAGCTCGGCTATCCCACCTCTCTCATCATCAATGGTACCCATATCTTTTGATGTTAAGCCTCTGGCAACATATGAGGAAAGTTTGATGATGTGCTAGGTTGAGATAAAGTCATTAGACACCCTGCAAAGAGGAGAAGGAAAGGAAAAGTGCTAAAGAGCTAAGATATATCTTTAAGCACTGCTTGAGCC